GTATGAGTTAGTGGGTGTGTTGTGATCACTTGATGCTTTTAATGAAATAGAACAGTCACTTTTGTACTACCTATCTCTTAGTGATTATGCTACCCTAATGGGTGACTTTGCACGAACTAATAATATGAAGGACTTCCTATCATTAGACAAACATATTGTTGATGAGTTCGATATGGACCTAGATGAAATGAACACTGAAATAAACCCTGAATTTATTCTTGATGATCTAAGCCTTTCTCGTGATAGAATTTCTCAAGACGATGATAGAGGCAACAATTTTGGATTTAAACTGATCGAATTATGTAAAAATCTAAACATGTTTATTTGTAATGGGCGGTTAGACAAGGATAAGAGAATAGGTAAGGCAACGTGTAAAAATAAGTCTGTTATTGATTATGTTATTGCGTCCCCCCTATGTCTACCATTATATAAAGACTTCGAAATATTTGACTTCTCACCTCTATATTCTGATGTCCATTGCCCTGTCCACTTTACAATAAAAACCGCCACGTGCAGCAGTACTTCACAGTCCGTTAGTAATCCGGTACAAGAGCAAATCCTCCAAGCTAGTAAGCCAAACCATTATGATATTGGAAAATCTACTACGTTCTGTCAAAACTTGAAAATTGAAAAGCTATCAGAGATTCAAAGACGCACAGAGTTAGCGTGTGAGTCAGGGGTTGACCCAGATACGGTAGATGACATCGCTTCTGACATAGCGCACGTGCTAGTTGATGCTGCACGTGAAACATTTGGTGTAAGGAAGACTCATGCTAAATTTCCCAAATCGAAAGCTGGTAGAATTAACAAGCCTTGGTTCAACACTGAATGTAGGAATATGCGTAAAAAAATTCATAAATCTAAAAATGACTTTAGAAAATTTAAAACTACGTTACATAGACAGAAGTTTTGTGTAACGTCCCGTGCTTATAAAAAATGTATGGATAAATGTATTAAAATATTTTCTAAAGAGACAACTAAACAGTTTCGTAACAAAAAAACATTCACCGAAAGAATACTGGAAAATACTAAATAAGCGTGACTGTAAAAAAACAAACCAGTCACCAAGCATTGGTGACTTTTATGAATATTTTAAAAAAGTAAATGAAACGAAATGTGAGGATGAAGTCCTCATTGAGAAGAATGACGATAGCGATAACTTTGCATTCGATACAAATATTCTCAACGATACCATTACAAGGGATGAAATTGCCTCTGCCATAAAGAACCTAAAAAGAAATAAGGCATCTGGAATAGATTTGGTAGAAAATGATTTTATAATTGACGCTTCAGAAAAGATAATCCCACTTCTGACTACTTTTTTCAACCTGATACTAAATTCCGGAATTGTTCCTGGTTGTTGGCTTAAAGGCACAATTAAACCTATTTATAAAAAGAAAGGTGACCCTATGGACCCAAACTCCTATAGACCCATAACTATATTAAGTTGTTTTGGAAAACTATTCACTAGTATTCTTAATATAAGACTTTCACATTTCGTGGAGATAAACAATATTTTATCCCCGTCCCAGTCAGGTTTTCGAAAAGGTTTCTCTGCTTGCGACAACCTATTTGTAAAACATGTGTTATTTGAAATTCTTAAACTTTCCAAACGAAAACTATATTGTGTCTGGCGTCCTTACTTACAAAGAAACTCACTCAAAATTTCTAAAATATGCTTGTGGTCTTCGAAACTCAACCCCCAGTATCATGCTTTATGGGGAATTAGGAAGATATCCGCTATATATTAAAATATATAAAAGAATAATATCATACTGGCATAAACTAGCTACAAACACTCTGAAAACGAAATTATCGACCCTTTTATTCAATTTCATTATATCTTCTTCTCCAAACACTTTACCTAAATTGAAATGGTTTAAATTTGTCAAACGGATCTTAGATGATTGCGGACTCTCAGAAATGTATGATTACCCGTTCCTATGTTCATCAGAATGTTTGGTTTCAAAAGTAGAAACAGTACTCAAAGATCAATATTTACAACAATGGCGATGTGAACTAGCATCTAGTCCGAAAGGAAAATTTTACCAAAATGTTAAAGACAATCTATGCTTTGAAAACTACCTCTTCCTTCCCAAATCTATACATAATCCAATTCTTAGATTTAAGTTATCAAACCACAATTTACCGATAGAAACAGGACGCTGGTACAACATTCTTAGAGAAAATAGACTCTGTAAACTTTGCGACTCTCCGTCTGTTGGGGACGAATTCCATTACCTTTTTAAATGCGAAGCTCTTCTCCAAAAGCGGATAATGTATATTCCAAATTATTACTACGTATGGCCTAATCTGTTCAAACTGAAACGACTATTTTCAATAAAGAAACCAAAGCATTTGAAAAACCGAGCTAAATTCTTAAATGCCTTGTCAAATGCCCTGAAATTGTAAACGAATTGTGATAATAATACTCTATCTATCTACTCTATTATCCACCATCTTGATTATATACTTATGTTAAATTGTATATCTTTATATTCTCATGTACCACCGTGGGTGGGTTTTTAGAGAATAAAATGTTCTGTTCTGATACTGGGTTTATGGATGATAGATCACTTGAAAAAACAACTCGTTTCTGGTGTGGGTTTTTGGATGATAGATCACTTGAAAAAACAACTCGTTTCTGGGTGGGTTTGGATGATAGATCACTTGAAAAACAACTCGTTTCTGGGTGGGTTTATTGATGATAGATCACTTGAAAAAACAACTCGTTTCTGGGTGGGTTTATTGATGATAGATCACTTGCAAAAACAACTCGTTTCTGGGTGGGTTTATTGATGATAGATCACTTGCAAAAACAACTCGTTTCTGGGTGGGTTTATTGATGATAGATCACTTGTTTATTGATGATAAAAACAACTCGTTTCTGGGTGGGTTTATTGATGATAGATCACTTGCAAAAACAACTCGTTTCTGGGTGGGTTTATTGATGATAGATCACTTGCAAAAACAACTCGTTTCTGGGTGGGTTTATTGATGATAGATCACTTGCAAAAACAACTCGTTTCTGGGTGGGTTTATTGATGATAGATCACTTGAAAAAACAACTCGTTTCTGGGTGGGTTTATTGATGATAGATCACTTGAAAAAACAACTCGTTTCTGGGTGGGTTTATGGATGATAGATCACTTGAAACAACAACTCGTTTTGGGTGGGTTTAAGGATGATAGATCACTCAAAAACAACTCGTTTCTGTGTGGGTTTATTGATAATAGATCACTTGAAAACGTAACATGGCTTCGGGTGGGTTTATAGGTGGGGATCACCTGATATTTCTACTTTGCCTTGAGGTGATCGTGATTTGAGGTTCATACTGTCAAACATTTCCCCTCTACTCCGATGCATTACAGTATTTAGCAAGTGATCGTAAACAACCGCTGACCTACACAGGTAAATCGTCCTTATCATATTTAACGGAAAAGCGAGGTTTAAAATGGCAACGCTTTGTATTCAGGTTAGCACAACACTTAACAGCTGCACGCTATACATTGTAGCATGTGTCACAGTGACTATCTGTTCACGATAATTTAAGGGTCGTCTTGTATTCCCTTTCCCAATTCATATAAAACTTTTTTTATTTGAAACAAAACATTTCTATTTACATTATTAAATGCGACAGGAAACTAATGTTATTTTTGCGCATCAAATGGTTTCAGATGGTCTACATAAAAGAAGAACGTTCTCTATATGACGTTCAGATACCCAGATTGCGTGTAGATTTAAGGTCATAGGAGTTATCTCCCCTGATCCACTAACTTTCAGAAGGTACCAAGATTCCTATGACTACACGTGCGTCCAATTTTGTATTTAAATTATAAATACCACAGAACATATTCTTTTGGAAGCGACAACAACACAACTCGATTATGGCTGTGACAAATGACCATCTGTACCTGGTCACCAGCTTATCTCAGGAACACGATCTCAAAAGTTATTTTATAGCCGCTTCGAATTTTCGACTTGGTTCAACAGAAGACGTTTTACTTATTTGGACATTCCTGGCTAGAGGAGAATAAATGCGGTAACATAAATTCTATGTTGTTATTGTTAAGAATGATCCGACTGCCATATTCGTTCATCTCACCCTGTGTTTTTAGTTTGGATGATATTCATATTTTTCATTAAGTATACAATACAGGTCATTACAATCGTAATTTGGTGTGTTGTTTTTTTTGTTTATCGCCGCTATTCCAGCTATATGGTGGCGGTCTGCAAATAATCGAGTCTGGACCCAACAATCCAGTGATCAGCATCATGAGCATTGATCTACGCAACTGGGATTCGATGACATGTGTCAACCAAGTCAACGGGCAACAATCACCAAAACCGAACAAGGGTCATTCATATAGCGACCGAATCTACTGACCATGTAACCGTGGTACCACGTTACAGGTTCGACGCCAACAGCTACAGGGTTTGGTTTGCCTGCTCCAGGCCCGATCACTGCAGTGATAGAACTAATATACTACGCTCACTTCGTCGCCAGTTCTAGTACCAAGAAGAGCGCACAACATGAATTTCTATTATACACAAGACAAATAAAACAATCTGTAGTTGGTATAAAACTGGTTGGTCCTGATTTCTTTGGAACAGACCCTTGAAGACCCGGGTTAGAATTGGTCGTCAGTAACCAATGCTTGTCGTAAGAAGCGACTAACGGGATCGGATGATCAGGCTCGCTGACTTGGTTGACACATGTCATCGTATCCCAAATGCATGGATTTATGCTCATGCTGTTAATCACTGGGTTGACTGGTCCAGATTCGATTATTTACAGACCGCCGCCATATAGCTGTAATATTGCTGAGTGCAGCGTTTAACAACAAACAAGCAATAACAACTACAGATATTGGCATCGATAATGGAACGTACAAGAGCAGTTCCTGGAAGGTGCAGGTGCAAACGGTGACGTAGCTTGCGGCGTTAAACAACAAACCAACCAACCAACTTTGGAACAAATAACTCATAGCCGCACAAACTCTTTGTTTTCTTTAAATTTCTTTTTAGGTAACTGTATAATAATGAAAAATCAAACAGTCAGTCATTATCACGTTCTCATGTGATAAATGTTCAGGACATTTTACACACTAATGGTCGAAAATGGAAACATTATGAAGAATGGCACAGATATCTTTCCACTGCCTTAGGTAATGCATAACTCTAATGTCGTGCCGGAAAGTTTGGGGTTTTTTTCTAACAAAAACGTTATGAATCTTGTTGGTATTCTATTTAGTGATTGTAAGTACGTGGCTGGTTTTAACACAGGTACATTTCCACATCAAGACGCCACACTAGATAATGTTGAATCCCCTAGCCATGCAGGACAACATGGCGGAGCGTGACTTCATGCTCTGCAGTCTCTCCTGTCTTAAGACCTCCCTTTTTATCAGGGCTGTTTTGATTGATGAGGTATTCGAGGGCCTTCTTTCGAGAACTTTTGGAAAACACCATAGCACTCTTCACTGCCGACTCGGCCTTGTGCGCATCGTACACGTGCGTCTGGTCTAAGTCCTGTTTCCGGCTACTCCTTGTTGACGTCATATCCGGCCTATCCTCATTGTCTTCTTCATCACTAATCTCTAACACTGTAGAAGTCTGAATGCTCTCCCTTCTCTTAGAAGAGTGACCGGATCTAGGTATATGATACAAGCTGCCTTTTGAAGACTTAGCACTATGAGGTAACTGTCTAGTCGTTGAATGGGAAGGGGGAGAGAACTCTTCCTCTGTCAACTGATCGAGAATGCTGGGTATAGATACATGTTTTGTGAGTCTCTTTGGTGACTTGTCGGACAGTGTGCTTCTAGATGTCTCTGACAAAGCGTCTGTGTCTCGGGGCGGCCTGCTGCACCGTGTGTCTGTGTCGTCATGGAACACATCCTGGTCGGGTTCAGAGTCTGATGACACAGGTGAGTGGGACCGACTCAAATTGTGGACAAAGTTATTCACCTTAGCTGCTGGAGTATCTGGTCCTGATCCTGAGATTTTAGTAAACTGCATCCCACTGTTCATATACACGTCCCCCTTCGTTATCAAGAACTGGTTTTTTCGCGACGAGTTGTCAACACAGGCCGACTGGGGTCGCGGTGTTTGTTTCACAGCAGGAGTAGTCTTATCGAAAGCTGTATGAGGACGTATCACGTGCTCACTATGATGTCTCTGTCTACCATCCTTGCTACCTCTTTTAACTTCATGTTTAGCTTCACTCTGGGATTTCCCATCCATATTTGGTGAACCGTCCACAACGTGCATGCCACTGTGTAGGAAAGCGCTTACCCTCTGTTGAACCTCGGCCCTTTCCTTCTCGACCTTCCCGCCATGTCTTTCCTTAGCAGACACAGGCTTCTTCCCTTCTTCCTCCCACGCGCTTCTGCTTGACATCAGGCGCGAGTCGAGAAGTGTGTCGTCTGCGGCCACGGCTTTCTGCTTGAGGAACCTCTGCAGCTGCTTCTCACACAGCCTCCACTCCATCAGCCTCTTCTCGCTCAGTCTGATGGCACTACGACTGTGCATGGACTTCTCATACGAGTTGTCCTTGGGGCCTGCGGGGGCCATGCCCATGTTGCTGCTACCAGAGGTCCTTCTCACCGACTCTATGTTGGCGTAAAGGAACTTCTTCTCCCGCTCCTGCAAGCCCCAATTCCGCAGCCTCTCTCGCTCATAGATCTTGAGTTGAAGGTCGAGTCTTGCCCTCTCAACCCGGTTCTTCCTGTCCGCTTGAATGAAGCGTTCCCCTGTCGACGTCCATCGTATCGGCATCTCTGTCCCTGTCTGCCAGCTGCGATACAAGAAAGTGGAGATTATGATACTGATAACGACGACGACGACGATAGTAACGATAAATACATAAATAAATAAATAAAATGATTGAATGAATGAATATACGTGACTTTTAGTAATAAATGAATGGATAGACAGACAAACAGACAGATAAATAAATAAATGAATGAATGAATGAATGAATGAAATGAACATGAATGAATAATAAATAAATAAATAAATAAATAAATAAATAAATAAATAAATAAATAAATAAATAAATTATAATATTTCTAACCGTTACTGCGATTTGTACGACGAGCGAACACAATATAAGCTAGGCTATCATAACGTTCAAACACAAAACATATTCCAAATCTGATCTAAACTTCCAAGATGAATTCTAATTAATGTTTTTTATAAGATATATAAATCTGATTCCTTATTTATGACATAACCTATATAACAGTTTTGCAAACAGTATCTCTGGATACGTCACGAAAATCCGTTCTATTCGCAGTCCGAGTCCGAGGGTAACAGTATGAGCGCCGTGCCAACACACAACTTGAAGTTGACGCACGCCACAGACGTTACTGAAATACTGCAGTCTCCTTAGTTGTTAGTTCAATAATTCCTATGATAACATATTCAAGAATTTCGCCTTGGCACAGACGGAAATAGAAAATTCACAATTGCAACATTTATAATTCACCTAATGTAAGATTAGTTAAACTTTCACAATAACGAACACATGGTTCAATGACACGCACTAAGTGACTACCGCAGTCTGATTAAAGATTTCACTAGGTTTGTTTGCGTGATTAACAAAAAAGGTAATTATGAATACACAATAAAATTTAAAAAGTGGTCGAACGTAAAACGTGTTATATTTGGGACTACACTTTCTCAGTAAAGTACAGATTCTATAGTAGTTTTGTTATGTTGAGTCCCGTCCAGAGTGTGCGTTCGAATCCCGGATGGGACTCACCCAATCAAAAGTACTAGAATCTGTACTTTTGTGTAATCCCAAATATAACACGTGTTAAAAAGGTACTGTATGGGATCCTGGAAGGGACATTGTCGCATTGTCGCGTTGTCGCCCTCTCAAAAACAAGCAAAATGAGGCAAACTTAACCAAAGCGCGACAATGCGACAACGCGACATTTCGGCCATTTGTCGTAATGTCGCATGTCGCGTTTTGAATATTTTTCTATTCCTCCAAAGGGCGACAATGCGACATAGCGACAATTTTCAAGGTCAAAATATGTCGCATTGTCGCGCTTTGGTTAATTTTGCCTCATTTTGCTTGTTTTTGAGAGGGCGACAACGCGACAATGCGACAATGTCCCTTCCAGGATTCCATAGTAATGAGTATTTTCGAGTTTCGTGTAACTTGTTACTAACGTAATTTGGCGTTAGTGGCCTCGCCGTCACATTGCCTCTCGCCCCAGTGATACACACTGGTATACAACGCGAAGCCTATATGTTGTCAGCCATCATACGGCACAAACGTGTAATGAACACAAACAGTTACAGATAAAGCCAATAAATTTGAAAACAATTTTCTCTCCTATGGTTCCATTCTAAAACCTAAAATTCAAAATGTTGAATATTGCCCCAAATCAAATATCTCAGATATCTCAATACATTTTGAATATTAATCGATTAAAATGGTAAAATATCTAACAGTAAATATCATACATTACATCTTTGTTCTTTATCACATGAAACACGTTACACACGTAGCAGATTTACCTCACAGCATTCCGTTTTGCAACTCGAACAGTATGAACGTACAGTGTAGAAGAGCTGAGGCTCCAGTCAGCTGTAAGCCGTTATTTCTACACTTAACACAACGGTACACAGCCCTCATGCGCCTGAATAATATTCTTAAAAGCTCGAGGGATAACGTACTCTAAATCTAGAATTAGCATAAAAACCTTATTAAGGTAGTATACAGAGTCCCAATGAACGTAATCCGGACCCGAGGCCTCGGTTTAATTGACTGCGTAAAAAGACGGGTGGGTCATGGTATGGTGTAGAGATTCGATCGAGCTTGTGATGTGAGCTTTAGCAGGTCAAAGAGGTTCAAATGTTTAATAGGATTTTAGTGGAATTATTTCGTCAAGAGAAGTTTTAACTTCACTACTTTACTGATCGTAATGGGTCGTTTATTTTGTGAACATTCTTGTTTGATTCATGAAATAGTGATTACAGAGGGACTTGTACGTGCATGTACCTCGATTATATTATGCTAAAATTCAGAAGATTTCAAATAGTATGTTCTTAGGGTTTACATATGTCAATGCATATGTTACAACAATACTGTATATTGTATCTTGTTGTGTCGAGACATCGCAAGGTTTTTCCTTCCCTCTCTTTCCATCATCATCATCATCATCATCATCATCACCATCATCATCATCATCATCACCACCATCATCATCACCACCACTACTATCACCACCACCAACGTCGTCATCATCATCATCACCCCATCACCAACACAATCACACCATCATCATCATCATCATCATCATCTGGCATTACAGAGATAATATTATAATCCAGTAAGTATTCCTCAACTTGATTACATATTTTACGAACGTTTACGGACAGATTTTACCGTTGCTTTGTGCCTTCCTGAATCTCAATCATTCCTCCGCTCTTTCTGCTCATACTGTCCATCTGCACTTATCCGTTCCCTCCGTTTTACCTTCTTTCCATCTGTTCACACTGAACACCGTCACCACCATCACCTCTAACCCATACATCACAACCGCCCTGTCGTCACTTCAGGGTATATTTCAGAGCTAAAGCTCCACTATTATTACCATGGAACCTTGCTCTTCAAAACTTCAGTTCAGTCAGGACGCCCGCTTTTGCTAGGTTCAGTGGATAGCTAGGGGTCACGATAGAGAGTTAACGAAGTATCTTCTGTCTTCTGTCTCTGTCCTTCTTTTCTCTAACCCCTCTTTTGTTCTCTCACTCCCATCTCGACCCCCACCCTGGGTACTGTGCCGTTGATTTGATTCACTGACAACATTGATGTATATTGTCTTACTTGTATACGTCCAACAGGCTATTACTATAGCGATCGATACCACCGATTGCGTTAACTGTAGTCTCAAAACCCCCATTACTCGCTAATCTGTATATACGATCATTATCGGGACAGATATGTGTCGAGGTTGAAATAAACGACCGACTTGGCAGGCTAATCTGTAACTACAACTCAGATATTATCACTAATAGACTGTAGCAATTGAATAGGTGACACTGAATATGTATATAATTGCTTATTACAAGGAATAAATGTCTGGAGGACCTCTCTTCAACAAGCTGGATCAAAAGAACAAAGGTTCCGTGCTTGGGCTCCTGACCCGGGACGAAAACATGACCCTGTATCGCCGTTGGAGACACTGTGACCGTTATTAGACGAAATAACATGTCTCTGTGGCTAATGATGTGCTGATATACAGACAAACACGAAGTATATGTTTCGCCCGTGGTACTGGATTTCAGGGTCCCTCACACAGGGGTAGTACCGCTACATCCATAGGGCAACTCAGATATGTGGTCATCAATGGCGCAACTCATGCTTAGACATGTGGTCATCAATGGCGCAACTCATGCTTATAGATATGTGGTCATCAATGGCGCAACTCATGCTTAGACATGTGGTCATCAATGGCGCAACTCATGCTTAGATATGTGGTCATCAATGGCGCAACTCATGCTTAGATATGTGGTCATCAATGGCGCAACTCATGCTTAGATATGTGGTCATCAATGGCGCAACTCATGCTTAGAATATGTGGTCATATGTGCAACTCATGGTCATCAAGCAACTCATGCCAGGTAGATATGTGGTCATCAATGGCGCAACTCATGCTTAGATATGTGGTCATCAATGGCGCAACTCATGCTTAGATATGTGGTCATCAATGGCGCAACTCATGCTTAGATATGTGGTCATCAATGGCGCAACTCATGCTTAGATATGTGGTCATCAATGGCGCAACTCATGCTTAGATATGTGGTCATCAATGGCGCAACTCATGCTTAGACATGTGGTCATCAATGGTGCAACTCATGCTTAGAATATGTGGTCATCAATGGTGCAACTCATGCTTAGAATATGTGGTCATCAATGGCGCAACTCATGCTTAGACATGTGGTCATCAATGGCGCAACTCATGTTGAGACATGTGGTCATCTATGGCGCAACTCATGCTTAGATATGTGGTCATCAATGGCGCAACTCCATGCTTAGAATATGTGGTTTTCAATGGGGCTACTCATGCTTAGATATGTGGTCATCAATGGCGCAACTCATGCTTAGATATGTGGTCATCAGTGGCGCAACTCATGCTTAGATATGTGGTCATCAATGGCGCAACTCATGTTGAGACATGTGGTCATCAATGACGCAACTCATGCTTAGAATATGTGGTCATCAATGGCGCAACTCATGTTGAGACATGTGGTCATCAATGGCGCAACTCATGCTTAGAATATGTGGTCATCAATGGCGCAACTCATGTTGAGACATGTGGTCATCAATGGCGCAACTCATGCTTAGAATATGTGGTCATCAATGGGGCTACTCATGTGGAGACATGTGGTCATCAATGGTGCAACTCATGCTTAGAATATGTGGTCATCAATGGCGCAACTCATGTTGAGACATGTGGTCATCTATGGCGCAACTCATGCTTAGAATATGTGGTCATCAATGGGGCTACTCATGCTTAGATATGTGGTCATCAATGGCGCAACTCATGCTTAGATATGTGGTCATCAATGGCGCAACTCATGCTTAGATATGTGGTCATCAATGGCGCAACTCATGCTTAGATATGTGGTCATCAATGGCGCAACTCATGCTTAGACATGTGGTCATCAATGGCGCAACTCATGCTTAGATATGTGGTCATCAATGGCGCAACTCACGCTTAGACATGTGGTCATCAATGGCGCAACTCATGCTTAGACTAAGGATCATATAGAAAGTCATATTTAAATGCCATTGCTGCCATTACAGATCTTATATATTACTAGTATGCATAAGTTAAATGAATTCCTAGAGCATAGAGCCAAGGTCACAAACCAGTTGACGTTAAGCAACGTTGGTCCTTGGATGGGTGACCGTGTTGGGCAGCTTGACTCCTGAGAGTTTCTAGGACTTCACTTTTGTCCCACAACGAAAATAGAAGTGTGTAAAGGAAAACTGAACACTGCCATGGAAGTATAAAGAGTTTCTTGGAAGCATATATAAGAACAATGAACACTGCCGTGAAGGTATATATATGAAACATGAACACTGTCAAAAAGGTATATATATGAAAGATGAAGACTATCAAGAAGGTATATATATATGAAATATGAACACTGTCAAGAAGGTATATATGAAATATGAAATAGGTATATAATGAACTAGGAACACTGAAGGTATATACATGAAATAGGAACACTGTCAAGAAGGTATATATATGAAATATGAACACTGTCAAGAAGGTATATATATGAAATAGGAATACTCTCATGAAGGTATATATATGAAATATGAAGACTGTAAAGAAGGTATATATATGAAATAGGAAGACTGTCAAGAAGGTATGTATATATATGAAATAGGAACACTGTCAAGAAGGTATATATATGAAATAGGAACACTTTCAAGAAGGAATTATATGAAATAGGAATACTCTCATGAAGGTATATATATGAAATAGGAAGACTGTAAAGAAGGTATATATATGAAATAGGAACACTGTCAAGAAGGTATATGTATGTATATATATATATATATATATATATATATATATATATGAAATAGGAACACTTTCAAGAAGGAATTATATGAAATAGGAACACTGTCAAGAAGGTATATATATGAAATAGGAACACTGTCAAGAAGGTATATATATGAAATAGGAACACTGTCAAGGAAGGTATATATATGAAATAGGAACACTGTCAAGAAGGTATATATATGAAATAGGAACACTCTCATGAAGGTATATATATGAAATAGGAAGACTGTCAAGAAGGTATATATATGAAATAGGAACACTGTCAAGGAAGGTATATATATGAAATAGGAACACTGTCAAGAAGGTATATATATATGAAATAGGAAGACTGTCAAGAAGGTATATACATGAAATATGAAGACTGCCAAGAAGGTATATATATGAAATAGGATCACTGTCATGAAGGTATTATATGAAATAGGAACACTGTCAAAATGGTATATGCATGAAATATGAAGACAGTTAAGAAAGTATAAACATGAAATATGAAGACTGTCATGAAGGTATATATATGAAGACTGCCAAGAAGGTATATATACTCTCCCAATCTGTCCCCACCTGGGGAACGCAAGCGTCGGCGAAACGTTCACGTCGACGTCTGTACACCCGCATTCTTCCATCGCGTCGTTCCAATAGAAATCGTGATTCATCACTGAACCAGATTCTACGCCAATTCGGTAGGTTCCAGGCCTGAACATTGGTGCACCATTGAACTCGATGTCGACGATGTTGTTGTCGAAGCACAGGGCCAAAATAAGGTCTTCTGGCACGTAAACCAGCCTCTCTCAACCTTTTCCTGACGGTCTGTGCAGAAAGCCTCCTCAATCCGGGTATTTGTCGAGCGGTACTGGTCGCCGTAGCTGTTTGATGACGCACGTGATGTAGTGATCCTGCGCCGCAGTGGTCGCTCGAGGTCGCCCACTACGAGTGGCATCTGCTACCGCATTCTGCAGGCGATATCTCTCCCAGAGCCGTGAAATGGTGCTTTGGTGAACATTCATGCGTCGGGCAACTGCACGTTGAGACTGGCCAGCTTCAAGCAAACCAATGGCGACATGACTGTTGGCTTCACTTAGACGTGGCATTTTGCGTTCGTCAACAATATTCCAAATACAGTGAATAATCGACAGACAGCGATCAATCTTTTATACTCATCATTGAGACTATCTGATCCCCAACTTTCACGTGCATTGCATGTGAATTGTGTATTCTGTGACACTACACGCCGAAATTGAAAATCATGCTGTTAAATAGGGGTATTTTACGGATGGTGCATTTTGTTGTGATGTTTCAAAACATAAACACCATAGGACTCATAAACAGAGCAAAACCTTTTGTAAAATGAATCACGTTTTAATTCATTGCTACATGAAATTGCTCTTTTCATGATGCGTTTCTTTTTTGGGAGAGTATATATGAAATATGAACACTGTCAAAAAGGTGTATATATATATCTATGAAATATGAACACTGTCAAGAAGGTATACATATGAAATGGGAACACTGCCAAGAAGGTGTATATATATATATATATATATATATATGAAATATGAACACTGTCCAAAAGGTATATATATGAAACATGAACACTGTCAAAATGGTATATATATGAAACATGAACACTGTCCAAAAGGTATATATATATATGAAATAGGAACACTGTCAAGAAGGTATTATATGAAATGGGAACACTGTCAAGAAGGTATATACATGAAATACGAACACCGTCAAGAAGGTATATATATGAAACATGAACACTGTCAAAATGGTACATATATGAAACATGAAGACTGTCAAGAAGGTATATATATGAAAGACGAACACTGTCATGAAGGTATATATATATATGAAATTGGAACACCGACGTGAAAGTATATATATGAAATAGGAACACTGTCAAGAAGGTATATATAGACGAAATTTGAACACTGCTGTGAAGGTATATATATGAAATATGAACACTCCCATCAAGTATATATATGTAAGAAAAATGAACATTGTCAAGAAGGCATATATAGGAAAGATGAACACAGACGTGAATATATTTATATATATAAATATATATATAAGAAAAATGAACACTGTCAAGAAGGTTTATATACCGAGAATAAAAAGTTAAGCGCCAGCCTATTTCAAAACTAAGATGTGAAGCTGTGGAAATGTTAGGCTAATAAAATTGGGAAGACCAATCCATATTTAGAGAAAGTTCATCTGGTAACTGATTTAGGGATATCATAAACATTTGCATGTACAATTAAAGGAAATATTGTTAAAGATATGATAGCACTGCTTTTTAAAGCAAAATAACTATTCATATTCTGCTCATACAACAGTATTAAACGTAGGTTTCACTTGTCAAAAATGACAATCATGTGACCATATAACAGTCATTCCTGATTTTCACTTTTCAAAAGAAGGTAACGTTTTGGAGGAAAACAAAATGCATGTTTTCCAAGAGCGCATACATCCTGTTTAAAGTAAAAGATAATTTCCACATAATGGTTTTGTTTTTAAACTAAAAGTACTAAACCAAATTATGATAGTTGTTTTTTCTGAAAAATTTCCTATGAGACAACCTATATTGGCAAAATATACTGGGTGGGGCTTAACTTTTTATTCACAGTATATATGAAATATGAACACAGTCAAGAAGGTATTATATGAAATATGAACACCGCCAGTCAAGAAAGTGAATTATATGAAATATGATAACTGAAATATATATGAAGTATATATGAAACTATAAATGAAATATGTAGAAAGAGGAACAGTGTCGTGAAGGCGTATAAAAAAGATGAACACAATTGTGAAGGTATATATATGAAATATGATAACTGAAATATATATGAAGTATATATGAAACGATAAATGAAATATGTAGAAAGAGGAACAGTGTCGTGAAGGCGTATAAAAAAGATGAACACAATTGTGAAGGTATATATATGAAATATGATAACTGAAATATATATGAAATATGATAACTGAAATATATATGAAGTATATATGAAACGATAAATGAAATATGTAGAAAGAGGAACAGTGTCGTGAAGGCGTATAAGAAAGATGAACACAGACCTGAAGTTATGAATGGTGAACACGGTCGTGTATAATGGTAAACATGAGTATAACAAGGATGTAGAGTGTCACTAAATGGCACAATGTCATAATTCTAGCGATGACAAGACACTACAGAACCACAGCCGCCATACTTACCACTAGCTGCACTACTCCATGGTACCTGACTGTACACACACACACACACACACATGCACTGTGTATACCCCGTGTTAACTACCCAGAAATATTTCCAAGTATTCACCACCATCTTAGTGTTTAATCTACATCTTAGCAATGTGTACTTGTTAGTCAACCTGTAAAGCTTTTAACATATCAACCGTAACAAAGCCACCAATAACTGGCACAGTAACATAGGTCATTACCTTCTGTCTGGTATGAAGAAATAACTCCTCTATACCCACACAACATGCCTTCTAATGGCCAATCCATCGATCCATGGACATCAAAGACTATCTACCTACGACACATAATAATGATATATTCTCCTCGCATTAAAGTTCAACCTTGTAAGTAATTCATAGCGATATTCTGCTCACCTCGTGCCAGATATACGCTCCGCTCTGTCAATGCGGGCTACCAGAGAGCCTTGTTAGTCTGACAAATGGCTTATAAACATCAAAGTTTATCCGATGGCTGCAGATATATACTCGAGAGCTCTTCATCGATTTATCTGTAATCTCCAAGTCGAAAATAAATCTTCAGAACGTCAGAGAATCGTCAAATGAATCACCTACAGTGTGATCTCTTGTATTGACTATGGATTGGCTAATTTACCCACTTATCCCTAATAAAATGAAATTAATAGTTATTGTCACTAATATCGGCTTACTGTGATTGGCAACAGCTAGATTTGGGCTCGACGGATTTCTATTACAGGTTTAGGGATTTTTAAGTCAACATGAAAAGAAGGAAAAACGATAAAGGGGGGTGCGGAAGCTGCTGATACATATTTAGGTTTACATTATTATAATACGAGTTCTTATTGAATTATCCTCAAACTTACTAAGAAGGAATTATTTCAATTGCGTTTCATTCCCGTCGGAAACAGGTATCCGTTTGTTTATTTTAAAAGCCAGATATATTTCATGTTGAACTCGTCCGAATACAATGAACACGTGACATGTTCTTAATCACCTAGTTAATTTAGATTCGTCTCCCATCATCTCATCGTCCTTTTTTAAGTCATTACCCTGTGTCGAAACTAAATATCGAACTTTGAGATGTTTCTAGTTATACCGGAGAATGTGTATGTTATAAGCAGTTTGTGTACATTATCTATTACGCTACACAAATAGTGCCAGCTCATAACTTCAACACACTCTGCCTATTAGAGGAGTGGAACTCCGCTCTTTGATCGCCAGATCAACCCGTCATAGACAGGGGCGGTCGTGCATATTGTTACAATTGCTTCCCAAGACCAGGGCCCCGTTCCTGAAAGCGATCGTAGCGCTAAGGTGATCGTAACTCCCATACTTTAACATACACTTAGGACAGTCGTAGCGCTACGATCGCTTTGAGGAACGGGACCCAGAGTTCGATCCCCCACATGGGTATAATTGGTGAAGCCCATTTCTTGTATCCCTAGCCATGATATTGCTGGAATATTGCTACAAGCGACGTAAGACTATACTCAGTCACTCACAGACAAATTATTTCTGGTTGATGAAATATACTATCACTTATCACAGGTACTACGGTACTTGGGCTTAAACGTAAAAGGGGTATTTCCGGGTATTGCCCTGGTCAGGGGTGGTCATCTCACCGTACCTCGAAGGATTTACCCTCTTACGGATGGATTAACACAATCAGCCCCTAATCCATAACTCTCTTACCTTTTGAGCCGGATAATCGGATCTGGGGCATAACAACATCACAATTGTTTAATCGTGTTTTAGTCACAGTGGAAACCAGAAAGCCGGCTGTGGCTCCAGGTGGTCTGTTTACCTTTTTTAACGTCTGGTACATTTCTAACGAATATAAATAGCCTTTTAAAAGTGTTTCATATAACTTGTCTCATTTAATTGAATATAAAACTGTTCCATCCTTGTAATTCTAGGATTCGATTTTCATTGTCCATTGTTCATTGATGTTCACTGTGTATAAGCTAGGACAGAACAGCTGCGGATACTACAACTATTCAACGCTCAGTTCCGACTGGGGATCGTTTTGTATGTTAGACGATATCAAGTCATGTAGTGTGTGTTACTTAAACTGATCATATTGCCCTGTGGTGGACGGATGTCGCTGTGTCGAGTCCCATATAGGCTGGACAGGCCAGTTGGAGTCCTTGATCTCACTTAGGAATGGTTTATTGGTTCCCTCCCAAAAGACAGACCTCCCACAAGACAGACTCAATGAGTACATTATTATCAAGGGTACAGCTTAATTAAGCCTTATGCAACCAACCATAAAATGTGTTGTTTTAAGCGGTCTGTCTTTTGGGAGGTCTGTCTTATGGGAAGATACCGGTTTATTCTATGGGTCTAAGGATTTGTTGAAATGACTTCTTTGCTCATTGTTGGAATATTCTTGTACATAGATAATTAATAATGCATGTACATTGCATCGTGATGATGTAACCAAGTCATAAGAATAAACCTAAAACACATTACTACAGAATAAACCTTCAAAATCACGCTGTAATACACATTGACACACCAGCACACGAACACGTAGGTGCACACACGCACGCACGTACAGGCACGCAAAGAAACACAGACAGACACAAACACACACACACACACACACACACACACACACACACACACCAGCACAACTGTCTGGACTCTTCTATATCAATTTATGCTTACATTTCCACAGAATATACCTTCAAGTGCAGACATGTACCAAATTACAGTTTTTTTCAGAATATACCTTCAACACATACCGCACATACACAGACTCCTCAACTTCTCTTACTATTTAACAGTCACAATGCGTACTTTGTTTATCCTACATTACAGTATTAATCTATCCCACTGTTAAATATATGTGTGTGCATACACAGTGGAACTTCGTCCTCATAAATCGAGATATCCGTAGTGCGAGACAAGCAGAGTACAAGATGTTAGGGTCTAGTCGTACATACCCGCTTCCTTTTCTGTTTCCAATACTCGTGCCATTTTATTTATCTGAATTATGTTTTATGGAAATTAGTAAATGTTTGAAATATAGAACACTGTAAGAAATATTTATTGAAACTAAAAGGGTTATCAAATACTTCTACAATTGAAAAAGCAATATACAAAATTTGATACGGAATATTTGTATACCTTTGAAAATGAATAAACCCATTAGACAAGTGAGTCAGTGAAGCGACGATGTTATATAACACCCCTAACAACAAACATACGGCCCATTTAACACCAAACATCATTCACGTACAATTAGCAGGTGCGAAAGTAGGTGAATGCCCTCACATTCAACAGCAATGTGCTAATTCGCTTCACTTGGTCGAACAGGAAGCTCCAGTTGTAAGGAATTCCAATCAAACCGTTACTTATTTAGTACCAGGAAATCCAATATGTTACTACTGAGAGCGGTACGTAATTACCCCTAATGTATCCCAGGCAGTGATAATGTGTATAGTAAATGTACCAGCTGGGGCAGGGTGGGTCATAATGCTCTCAAAGAGACATTGAGACTATGCCATTCACTTATTTACAGTCAATTATATCGGCAATTGTCGTATCGTGGCCTATATCCTGATTGTGAGATTGAAGATATTGGGGCAGTTCTTCATTGGCTCCGTGACCCTCTGAGACACTTTTCGTGTTACTGTGACGGCTACGGGTGTGGGGCTATTTGAAGTACCGTTATCTGCCCGTGTAATCCTTGCGTGTCGATACTGAGGGACTTAATTAGAACTTGACACAGGGGCGGGGATATTCGCACGATATTAATTTCATATTCTTTCCTCGGCGCATGTACACTGGGTCACGGGCGACCAGGTGTGGGGTCAGGTAGAGATAAGGAAACGTTACTGACACCGTTAAGTAAAAACAATCAGGCATTAAATATTGATAATGGTATGGCAATGTGATTTGTATATGATGATATGGTGGATTGGGTTTTTTAAGTTCATTTTTGGTGGAAGTCGTGTTCGGGTTCATGGAACACAGTGAGTGAGTGAGTGAAGGAGTGAGTGGGGGAGCAGGTTTTTAACCTATGTTTTAGTAATAGTCAACGTATACCACGTCCTGAGTCACCAAACACTGGCTTTTCACATTGTACCCACGAGGGGAATCGAATCCGGACATTCGGCGTGACAGACGAACACTTTAACTACTAGGCTTCCGAATCGGTCTTGTCTCTAACGGTACGCGTACCATACCACAACTACGATGATGATGAATGATGACGATCAAGAAGCAGTCGGGATTAAGGAGGAAAATAGCAATATTTATATGTTAAGGTTCTTGGAGTTTAGCATAAAAGTTACATTAGAACATGAACATCTATATAACCTACAATACTGACCTCTAATACATAACAAAACTATAGACAATTAAATACATGCTAGTACTAATAAAAATATATAAAACCGATAAAACCCTCTATATACTGATAACATACAAAACGTCAAGGCAAGGGAATACCCAGTCTCGATTATCAGGCCAGATGCCATTGGACGTATAGGGATAAAGGGCCGGGAATATTATATGTAGAATGGATTGCTGTAAGTTCGTAATAACACCAAGAAAAAAAAATCTAAAACAATGAAAATATACAAAATTAATTAATTCGAAACAATTATTTAAGAATAAACATGTTGAAGTGAGCATACGATAATGTGAAAGACGGGGAGAACGTGTTACCGACTTTTTATTGCAGCTGAAATGAACAAGAGATGATTATTTGATATGCAGCCTGGTTCCCGTGGTATGATGCGCTTACGCTCTGAATGAAAAGCCATCGCAGCATACCCCGGACACCAGTCTATCCGATGTTGACGCATTTGACCGGGTATACTAGGTGTTTTAGACCCTCTATTTGCAGCGTGTTTTCAGCCAAATACCAATTTGATAAGGTTGCAATTTTGTAGGTCAAATTCAGTTTAAAAGTGTATACTTTCTCTTATCCTGTAGTTTATTTAATTTCATACACTGAAGGGAATAATTACTTGGAACATAAATCAAGGTACACTTTCTTTACCCCTTGAGGGCGGTGGGGTAGCTTAATAGCTAAAGCGTTTGC